GATGATGATGATGATGTACAGATTAAAATACAGAAATGCAGCAGGGAAGGTTTAGGTGATCAGTAACCAGGTCAGGCTGGTTAGGTTTCATCATCAGCTCAGGGCCCTTGCCCCCAAAACACGCAGCCCATGCCAGATAGCGAATGGGACTTCTCCCAGGAAGCGCTGCCTGGTCAAACCCACCCAGACCTTTTCGGAGAATGTGAATACTCCCCAACACTGCAGCCTTCTGCATTACCCAGGTTGTCAGAATGGCTGTATCCCTGGTAGCAAACCCGGGTACTCTCCCAATGCCAGTCAACAGACTGGGAGGTACCAAACCTAAGGTACCGAGAACAATGAGTATTATCATTACTGAGTCACATGCGCATATTTCTATAGTCCATTTCAAACTCCCCTCACTGTTCTAAATCTGAACTTGCTGTTTTCGTTCGATTTTTTCTAATGTAAATTTGTCTATTAGACTTCCTGTGACTAAAATATTCTGAACCGCAAAAGAAACGTCACCACGGATAGATATATAAGAAACATTATTTGTCCAAACACTGTAAACATACTTTGTGACATATTAAAAAGAGGAAACTTGGCAAAACTGATCATCAAGGTTAAAATTAAAGTGTCAAACGTTCTTAAAATGAAACACAACACCAGTCTCTGAGAAAATGGCATCACAAGTCAGTATCTCTTGAGTCTGCATGTGCATTGATGACTGCCGTGCAACGTCGATACATGGAATGGATGAGGCGGTTGATGAAAGCAATAGGCACTTGAGCCCACACTCTGAGGAACGCCTGACGCAGTTCAGCTGCAGTTATCAGCCATTGTCGGACGCCATTCAGTCGTCTTTGAATCTCGTCCCACATTTGCTCAATAGGATTTCAATCGGGACTGAGGGCAGGCCACTGTATGGTTCTGATTCCATTCTGCTGCAGGAAGTCTCTTGTTGCTCTCGCATTACGGGCGTCATCATGCTGAAATTCGTGGTTGCGGCGACGTGCCAAATGAGGTATGGCGTGTGATCTCAAGACTTGATCAAAGTACCGAGCTGCTGTGACACCATTGCCTGTCCCTGGACCGATGTTCTGGAAGACCACAGGGCGGCCCCCCTGTGCAAGACCAATTCCACCCCACACCATGATGCTGGGACCACCCCACGAGTCTCTTTCAACAACACAAGCATCCGTCTGAGACCTGTATCACTCTGGGCTTTCCTCCCACATTAAGCTGACACGCCGTGATGTTGCTTGAATATTGCTAAAAGCGGCGTTAAACGTTAACCCAACTCACTCACTCACTCAATTGTTAGTGTCGTTGATTATTGTATAACCATCGTTTTGCTCGTTAAATATAACGAATAAATCACTTAGAGAGTGTTTTTAGTTTATTACACGGCCCCGACACACCTGCACTGCTGATTGTTATGACCCTGAATCTGGAATATCATTAAAAATTGGTGTGATAACTAGTGCAACACAGGTTGACATCTGCTCCGTCACCTTGGCGAAAATGACGTACTCTCAAAACGTGGGGGGCACCGGTGGCTCAGTCGTCTAAGGCGCCGCGATTCGCGGTGCAGAGTTGCGTCCCTTGGGCATGCCAGAAACATTTGATTATGGGTTCGAATCCCGGTTCGCCCCGATCATGTTTCTAGGTTTGTCAGCACCATACCCGTGCTCGTGGGTTTCACCGAAGTGGTAAACGTCTGAGACCTGCATCACTTCAGGCTTTCCTCCCATATTAAGCTGACACGCCACGATATAACTGGAATACTGTTAAAAGCGGCGTTAAACCCAACTCACTCACTCAAAACGTGATTTTCAGCCTATCGCTGGTGTAATTCTAGCAAAGCCTGCGTTGATCAACCCTTTGACATGTGTGAGTTTGAATGTTGCTTTATGTCTTTGCCATGAACCCTTCACAGTTTGACCAGATAGGATAAATAGGACTGAGCCCACAACGTCTGACTGGCGTACATAAGACAACTTGACCGTGTTGTGCCCCAAGGACAACTGTCTTATACTTTACTGGTTTCTTATTCAGGCGAATTTTCTCCATGAGTTGAACTTTCGTTTCAGATGGTCTGAAGTGGACATTGCAAGACATCAGATATTCCTGCGTGGTCTTCAGACTACTCATGGTTGGCACGACAGTATCTGGTTCCCGCACGTTATGATCACTGGGGGTATCCATGACAGTGACACCGGGGTTGTTCGGACTGGGCAGTAGGTGCTGTTCCAACCAGTCTATGAAAACTATTCATTTCCATATGATAATAAAGTCCCGTTTGTCTTTGGACAACCTCTAAATTCTTTGTTATATTTATCAAACAGTAGACTTGTTGGTATGAAAGTCCGGGTAAATCCTTTCGGTAGTTCAGTGATACATCCTATCTAAACTACTAATAGTTTCTCTCTCAAGTGTGAAGGACTTGTAATCATTTCCTACTACAGACTCAGTGTCGTGTATTATGGCTTTGTCTATGCAAGTGTCATGCAACATGCATCATCGGAAATTATTATTATTATGTTTGGTTTAACGCCGCTTTTAACAGTATTCCAGTTATATCGCGGCGTGTCAGCTTAATGTGGGAGGAAAGCCTGAAGTGTTGCAGGTCTTAGACGTTTACCACTTCGGTGAAACCAACGAGCACGGGTATGGTGCTGACAAACCTAGACACATAATTGGGGCGAACCGGGATTCGAACTCACAATCATAGGTTGCTGGCGTGCCCAAGGGCGCAACTCTGCACAGCGAATCGCGGCGCTTTAGACGACTTGGACACCCGTGCCCCCTGATGATGATGATGATGATGATGATGATGATGATGATGATGATGTACAGATTAAAATACAGAAATTCAGCAAGGAAGGTTTGGGTGATCAGTAACCAGGTCAGGTTGGTTAGGCTCATCATCAGCTCAGGGCCCTTGCCCCCAAAACACACAGCCCAGACAGCGAATGGGACTTCTCCCAGGAAGCGCTGCCTGGTCAAACCCACCCAGAACCTTTTCGGAGAATGTGAATACTCCCAAACACTGCAGCCTCCTGCATTACCCAGGTTGTCAGAAGGGTTGTAATCCTGGACTGGGAGGTACCAAACCTAAGGTACCGAGAACAATGAGTATTATTATTATGGAGTCACATGCGCATATTTCTATAGTCCATTTCAAACTTCCCTCACTGTTCTAAATCTGAACATGCAGTTTTCGTTCGATTTTTTCTAATGTAAATTTGTCGATTGGACTTCCTGTGACTAAAATATTCTGAACCGCAAAAGAAAGGTCACCATGGATAGAATATAAGAAACATTATTTGTCCAAACACTGTAAACATACTTTGTGACATATTAAAAAGAACTTGGCAAAACTGATCATCAAGGTTAAAATTAAAGGGTCAAATATTCTTAAAATGAAACACAACACCATTCTCTGAGAAAATGGCATCACATGTCAGTATCTCCTGAGTCTGCATGTGCATTCATGACTGCCGTGCAACGTCGATACATGGAATGGATGAGGCGGTTGATGAAAGCAATAGGTACTTGAGCCCACACTCTGAGGAACGCCTGACGCAGTTCAGCTGCAGTTGTCAGCGATTGTCAGACGCCATTCAGTCGTCTTTGAATCTCGTCCCACAGTTGCTCAATAGGATTTCAATCGGGACTGAGGGCAGGCCACTGTATGGTTCTGATTCCATTCTGCTGCAGGAAGTCTCTTGTTGCTCTCGCATTACGGGCGTCATCATGCTGAAATTCGTGGTTGCGGCGACATGCCAAATGAGGTATGGCGTGTGGTCTCAAGACTTGACCGTTACTGGAAGAGCACGGGGCCGACCCTCTGTGCAAGACCAATTCCACCCCACACCATGATGCTCGGACCACCCTAGTCCTGCACCATGACCATGGAATATATTTATTTTATGAAAAACAAATAATCTAGAAATGCAAAAACAAGTCTAGCAGCACAAGCTAGCATAGGGAATTTTCATTTTATTTTTAGAGTTAAGAAGGATATTGTGTAATATAAGATTTCAGAGACTAAATGTTAGTCTAGGACCACCCCACGAGTCTCTTTCAACAACACAAGCATCCGAATGACGTTCCCCACGATGTCGCCAGACTCTTTCTCTCTCTGCCATCTGCTTTTGAGATACAGCAATGTGTTATCACATGTGTTATCATGAAATTTCATTTCCCCGGACAAGGTTATGTTAAATTTTAGAAACTTTGATAAAATAACCCAGATATCTAACTGACAACTTTTCATGCAATGTTACTTGGGTGATGTTTCTTTTGCTGTTCAGTATATTTTAAACCACAGATAGTTAGATCAATAGCAACAGTCTGTAAAAATGTTTGTCCGTTTTCTTAAATGGGCAAGACGCATTTTTTCTAGCATTTCCGTTTATATTTTCGACATAGGGTCCTCATTCAAAGTTCACCCATGGCTCCTTGTTATTTAGAAATTCGTTTGAACTCTGTTGGATGGTAATTGAAGTGGTGCTGAAACGTGCAATGCACAACATGGAAATTTTTCGAGATATGTTGAAGTAAACATCACCTTCCCCTTGATAATTTTGTATCGATGGTAGCTGGTTGCCATGGGATCAACCAGATATTACTGATGTCAGACAGGAGAACACCGCGGACACAGATGGCCACAGATGGCGAAAATTGGAAAGGAGTGACGCACGGACTGTCTCAAGCGTTGCCCATTGGTGGAGAAAGAACGTCAGCACATTTGGAGGTGTGAAAAATCACAATCCTCTCCGATGCCTTCCATGCTTCAAATATGTATTTGGCATTACGAACAGTGGGGTTTGCCCAAAATAGATATGAAACAGTCTCCAAGTGTAAAAGCTCCCTATAAAAGCCGACAACACTCTATGCAACGTTATCTCTGTAGAAGCATCCATTCGATTAGTTTGGTTCCTGGACTCGGAACAGAAGCTCCTGGTAGTTCTATAATAGTACAAGAACGCTTTGTAGCTATAGTCTCGGCCATGGCAGCTGCTCATTCCAACCAAACCTTCAAGATCGTTGTCCTGGGTGCTCCTGGAGTTGGGAAGAGCACCATCATCTCCCAGTTCCTGCACCGGAAGTTCATTGAGTTACACTGGTTCACCATCGAGCTGGAACAACAGACAACTTTGATCGGTAAGGAAGGGCGCCAAGTCTCCCTCGAGATCGTGGACACTCCAGGTGGATACTGCTTTGGGGCAAGAAGAAGGTTTGCAATTGAGTCGGGTGATGCATTTATTCTTGTATTCTCTTTGGAAGATGAATGCTCGTTTGAGACAACAGCCATGATCAGGGAGGATATCCTTCGTATCAAGAGGAAGAAGAAAGTTCCGATCCTTTTGGTAGGAAACAAGACTGACATTGAGGATAATAAAAGAATCACGGGGCAAACTGGTGCTGAACGTTTTGCCAAGAAAGAATGGAACACCAAGTACGTTGAGGCTTGTGGCAAGGACCACAGCAGTGTCACACGGGTGTTTCAGAAGCTGCTCAAACTGGCAAAGATTAAGGTCGAACTAAGCTCTCATGAACAAGGGGAGACGCGAAGGTTTACCTTCCCTGGACGCGTGAAGCGAAAACTTAGGTCCATTGGTGAGATACGAAGTTCTGTTGCATAGTTATTTCATATGTTGAATAAATTGTTATTTTGGTGCATAATTAAATACTTAATGCTGTATGACTTGATAATCAACTTAATAAATCTATTACTATAATTTTGTTGTGTCTTTTCAGTACATGCGATATCGTGTAACTGGATTTTTGGTCCATCACCTGATTATCTGATTATTTTATGTGCAGCTGTCGCTTGGCAGGAGAAGGGCTGTGTGGTGTGAGTCAGCAAACGCATACATTATTTATGGTATTGAGGGAGTGTGGGTGCTACCGGTAGGTCAGGACATGCTTACCATATTCCCGAAGAACGCCTCCGTGGTCTAGCGGTAGAGCGTCCGCCCGCAGAGCGGAAGGTCCGGGGTACGATCCCCGGCCGCGTCATACCAAAAGACGTTAAAAGATGGTACTTGTTGTGACCCTGTCTGGCGCTCGGCATTAAGGGGCTAAAACAATGACCGGTCGGCTCGGAGTCAGTATACTGAGTCTGAGTGGGGTATTCATGTTAAACTGCGGCATTGTATCTCAGTGAGCTTGCACTATGAATCGGCATACAAGCAGCCACACACATACACACACGTACATACACGTCGGTATTTAAGTGCAATAATCTTGGACGCGACGTTAAACCCCATTTCACTTCACGTCACCGTATTCCCGAACTTTTTGTATTATCACTGATTTTTCAGTACGCCTTTTAAGACAAATGGAATCTGTTTCACCGGATAGTCGCGATCCGTTCATCTCTGGATGGATGAATCTGCTGATGGACTGACGTCCCTGAGTTTCAGCTTGAGCTTTGTGGTATTTTATCATTTATACTGGGTCAGCTACAAAAGAAATATTTTGGCCGAGGGCCATTTTCGTGCTCGTGGTTTTCACCAAAGTATAAAACTTCTGAGATCTCACCTCACCTCACCTCACCTAACCTCACCTCACCTTCGCCGTGACTATGTTTTTATGTTGAGCAGCACAATACCCATGTTCACGGATTTCGCCCAGGTTGGAAAGGCATAAAACTTGCGTCACCTTCCTCTTGTTGTATGGATACTCGATCGCTTGTTTAACGCCGCACTCAGCAATATTCCAGCTGTATGACGGCGGTCTGTAAATAATCGAGTCTGGACCAGACAATCCAGTGATTGACATCATGAGCATCCATCAACGCAGTTGGGATACGATGACATGCATCAACCAAGTCAGCAAGCCTGACCAACCGATCCCGTTAGTCGCCTCTTACGACAAGCATGGTCAACCTGGTAGTGAGTGAGTATGGTTTTACGCCGCTTTTAGCAATATTCAAGCAATATCAAGGCGGGTTACACAAGAAATTGGCTTTACACATTGCACTCATATCAGGAATCGAACCCGGCTAACACTTCAACCACAAGGCTACCCGACCATCCCTCCAACCTGGGAAACAACAAGTAACAACAGAGATGTTATTTACTGAACACATTTATCAAAGAATCTGTATACGCGATTCTTGCCTCGTACATGGAAAATGTTTCAGTACATATTCAGATAAGATAAAACAACCCAACGGCAGCATACTTGGAATAAGTTAAATATACGTACAAGCTTCGCCCTGCTATACCTTGGTATTGTAGTGGATAGAGCGTCTGCCTGGAGAGCTAAACGTTGGTGGGTCGATGCCCGACCGTGTGCATGGTCGTGTGCATGGACGGCGCTATATTACTCTATGCACTTTTAAAGCAGTAGCGCAGAAACATGGTTGGTTTGTTGTTTAACGCCGCACTCAGCAATATTACAGCTATATGACGGCGGTTGAAATTTCAAGAAACTAAGTTGAAGTTTCAAGATACTATACTTCAATTTCAAGAAGTTGAAATTTCAAGATTCTAAGTTGAAATTTCAAGATTCTATACTATTTGAAATTTCAAGATAGTATCGAAAAAAAACCTAAAAAACAATTGGCCCTAAAAGGCTTCCGTACAATAGGACAAGCTATCCATATATTTATTAATGACCATCTAAGGCGCAGAAATCGAGAAAGAGCTGTTCTAAACTTATGTAAACTCACACTTAATAGATAAGGTTCTAGTATAATAGTAGTCTTAAATGTAGTGTAGTAATTTGCTTTTCTAGAACTGGACAAAGAACCATGCCATTTTTGAATGTACATATCTTTTAAAGTCTGTGTCAAACGGGAGAAGAAATGTTGTGGCATGTCTACATGTTGCTGTAACCAAATATAACCATATCCACATTCGTATAACATGTTTTTAACTTTTGATGCCCAACATTTTCTCGGTTATCTTGAAAATGGCATATTTAATAGCTTGATTCAGTATTTAATAACCTTTAAAGAACGATTGATATACATGGGAAACCGTCTGCATTCACCATATACCCTTGCGTTTTCTGTGCTAGATTTTACCCCCAAGAACCTTTTACATGCATATAAATGTATTTTCTCAATAACATCCAAATGTTTTAGGCCCAAAATTTCTGATCCATACAATAGAATCGGGCTTATTTTTGTATCAAATATTTTAAAATAAACATCATATGTAATATTGTCCAGAACTCTAAGACTTTTTAATATGCCTACAAAAAGTTTCTTAGCTTGCAATGAAATGTTACGTGCATTCCTTAACCAAGTTTATCTACTTGTAAAACACAAGCCTAAGTATTTATAAAATGGAACAACTTCTACAGGCTTCCTTCTGTAAAACCATTTTTCTTTTCTGGATATGTTACCAACATTTTTAAAAACTACAACTTTGGTTTTATCCATATTTACAGTAAGTTTTGACCCGTCACAATAACTCTCTAATACATGTATTTGCTTTTGCAAGTCAGGTATTGTGCTCGAGAACATGACTATATCGTCAGCGAAAAGAAGCAGAAATAATTTAATAGTTTCGGGGTGTAGTTGTATTCCATCAGTGCATTTTTTTGGGATCTGATATGCTAAATCATTTATGAAAAAGGAAAATAAGAGGGGACTTGATATACACCCTTGTCGGACACCCATGCTTCTTACAAAAGTATCAGATATAGCGCCATTGTTCCGGACACACACCTGCACATTTTTATATAGACAGCCTAATAACTTTCCAATTTTGCTACTTAGCCCATGTCTTTAAAAGAGTGACCATAAGTTATCCCTTTTCACAGAGTCAAAAGCTTTTGCAAAATCTACGAATACAGCATATAGCTTCCCTCGTTTCACTGATAGATATCTCTGAATTATAGAATATAGGATAAAAGCATTGTCAGTGGTGGAGTTTCCTTTTCTAAAACCTGCTTGTGACTCACTTATTTTATCCAAAGAATCCGCCCAGAAAACAAGTCTCTTAGTAGATATTGAAGTAAATATTTTACTGAATGTACTTTGGAAAGTTATGCCTCTATAATTATTAACATCGCTGGTTGCGTCCTGTTTGTGAAGAGGAACAATAATGCCAACTGTCCAATCATCTGGAAAATATGATCTCTCTAAAAGGATATTAAAAATGAGTTCCAAATATGGTATATAAATATCTGAGGAATGTTTAAAAAACTCTGCTATCACATTATCATTTCCAGATGCCTTATTATCTTTAAGGTTTGATATGCTGTCAATAATTTCCTCTTTAGATATTGGCGTTCAAGAATATCATCTGTTACACTGTCAACTTCATCTTCGTTGAATTCCATGTCAAATAAATTGTTATCGTCATGTCTAAATGGAACTGAAAATAGTTCCTGGAAATGCTCAAACCAGGCTTGAATATCAATGTCATTTTTGCAATATCCATTTGGTTTAATTGCTGTTAGCGATGACCAAAATGTTTCAGAATTATCTATGCTTGATTCCAACAGTTTCTGTTTTTGTCTTTTTTCCGTACAAATATCGTTGTACTGATTTCTTACTCTATTATAGTCGGTTAGTGATCCTCTGTCCTTATTCTTTCTGAAATAATTTAAACGTCTACATCGTTCCTTTTTAAGTAGCTGGCATTCGCTATCAAAACATTGTTGATATCATTTACAGCCCTTATTCATTTTCGTCATATCAGATGCATCAATAATAACAGCTTCAGTAATGTACACAGTACTTTCTTCAACGTTAACAAATGCTACATCTACAGCGTTCTCCAGTAAATCAAGCGCAGTCCCAGAAATAAGGTTTATTCTAAAGTGTTCAGCCTTCTTTTCAACCCACACAAATTTGAAGGAAGCATTGTTACGTGTATTGCGTGGCATAGGGTCACTTACTAGAAGCGTACGTAAACTAGTCGTGACAGGAAGGTGTGATGACTCGGCTCGAGACAGTTTGTCAAAGCTATGACACATATCAAACAACTCGGACGAGGCAATAACATAATCCACCACACTCGCACCCTGGTTTCCTATAAAAGTAAAATCTTCTACCCCGGCGTCTGACCCGCACCTTCCACTCATAATATGTATATTTAGTATACTGCATATAAGCTCTTACCTAAACTTTAAGTTAAATCAACAGAAAATCTTTTTAAGCTGAAATTGTCTAACAGAAATCACAATACACTGTTATCATGTCCCTCGAGTTAGTCAAGGATATCATCTTCTACAAAATCAGATTCAGTGCTAGTTCTGGCATTCAAGTCTCCCCCCAATCATCAAATAAACATCATCACAATGTGCTAGTATATCAAGTTAGTCATTTTGTAATTATAAATATATGAATGCCATTTTTGCATTGCCTCAAAGGGTTTGTGTACCAAGTCGAACATTCAGGGTGAACATAAACACATGCATATAGCAAATCCTTTTTAAAGCCAAATTCGGTTTTATCTAACAGCATGAAGATGTCACTGTCGTAAACTTTAGACCATTTTACATATTTAACAAGTTGTGGTCTAACTAATATGACAATACCACCAGAAAGTCTACCAAAGCTGGAAACCTTTTCAGCTTGTTTGATCCATAGCTTGAATCCTGGAAATATCAAACTTATGTCTATATCTTTCATCCATGTTTCTGTTATGCCGATGAAGTCAAATGAGTTTAAATAATCGGTAAAGTCCTGATCAGTTAATTTAGAATTAAGTCCTGATACATTCCAGAAAACAAATGTTCTATTCTCAAATTTACAATAATCGACATCATCTGTCGTATCTACATGAGGCGTCCTACAATCACGCTCGGTCTCGTCGCACCCCTAGTGGGTTGCTCTCCTGTCCCAGGCCTCAGAGCGAGAATTCAGAAGTCGTGGTCCTGTGTGTGAACCTCC